TAAACACTCCTGGAAGACAGTCTGCATCAGGGTCATGAATGTTGCAGGGGCATTGGTAAGGCCAAAACTCATGACTAAGTACTTCTAATGTCCATATCTGGTCCTGAATGCCATCTTAGGGATGTCCTCTGGCTTCACCCTAATCTGGTTGTATCCCAACCTGAGGTCAATCATGCTGAATATAGTGGCTCCATTGAGTTGGTCCAAAGCTCATCAATCTGAGGTATGGGGTATCTTTTCTCCACAGTCACTGAGTTGAGAGCTCTATAGTCAATGCATATCCTAAGTGTTCCAACCTTTCTTTTCACACACTGTACTTGTGCTCCCCAAAGTGACTTTCTGGGTCTGATATATACTTGCTCCAGTAACTGATATACTTGTCTCTTCATCTCTTCCTACTCCAATGGAATCATTCTGTAAGGTGCCTTACTCACTGGAGGGCTATTTCCTGTTTCAATGGCCCAATCCATGTCTCTGACTGGTGGTAGGCTTACAAGTTCATCAGGACATACATCTGAATATTCCCTCAAAAGGATCTGGACCTTCTAGTGTACTTGAGTAGAGGAATCCCTGTGTAATACTGCCATGAGGAACATCTGGGTGCCTTTTCTAAGTGCTCTACAGAACTGTATCTTGCAAAGTTCACTTGTTTCACACACACTGGAATTGACCAAGTTGAAGTCCAGTCTGGCAGGTAACAGCCTATAGGTCTTGTTGCCCTTCTTGATCTGATTAGCATGGGTTCTCCAGTTGTTTAATGGATTATGACAAAATAGCCAGGTTTTTCCAAGTACATGGTTAAACATGCAGTTCCCAAATATATAGGTCTGTAGGTCTTATTCAATATAATTGATCTTGATCCTTACCAGCTGAGTCATATGGTTGATCATGTGAAGGTTCTCAACAGCTGTTGAGACTGGAGTTGCTTTGGTGAATTCCAAGTTGATTCCAGCCTTCAAAGCAAATTGCTCAGACATGTAATCATGCAAAGCTTCTAAGTCAAATATGATCTTGGCACGTACTCCATTAATTACTCCATTCCAATATAATAGCTTTCCTGAGTTTGAGGTCATCTGGGATCAATATTCTTCAGTCATATGGAAGGTGAGTTCTGAATCTTCTTCAAGCTCATCCTCCATGTTACTATGCTCAAGGGCATCAATATGGTTGAAGGTTTTTGATGGCCAGTGCCCATTTCTTCTCTGAGGGCAGTACTTTGCAATATGTCCCTGCTGGTGGCAATAAAGCAAAGTCCTTTCTTCTTACATGCTTCTGAGGTAAGATTCTTTTGCATAGCATCTATTTTCATTGGCACTGCTTCTGATTGTCTTCTTTCATAGTGATTGTAGCTTCTCTGATCAGTCATTGTGGGCTTTCCAACTCCAAACATAGCTGAGTCCTATTAAATGGCAATCTTGATGGCTCATTCAGTGGTCTGAGGTCTTCAGTAGTTCACTTCATTGCTAGTTCTTTCATCCATTAATAAAGGATTCCACTTAATCCAGAGGGTCCATTCTTTGAACTTGTCCAAATAGACATCTATATTCATAAATGTACTCTTGAGCCATTCCTTTTGGTCTTAGTATCTTTAGCTTTCTTCTTGGTAGTGTCTGCTGGTGCAGGGGTTCAAAAGCATCCTGAATTGCCAACACAAACTCATCCCAGGTAGAGATTGTAGAGCATCCCATCATGGTGTATGACCTGATCCTGTTGTGGTACCATTGTAAAGCTGCATCTACCAGGTAAGAGACTGCTTAATGTAACTTGCTTTCTTGAGCAGTTTCCTTAGCCTTGAAAGTCTTCAATCTGAAAAGCCAAGTTCCCAGATTTTTATCAACTCTACCTTGGTACTAGTTGACCTTCACACTGAAGTTGCTCTTGACAGGGTTTTGCTAGCTTTGGGCCATGATATTCATTCATTGTTGCTGCTGGCTATGGATATGGAGTAACTGTTGCTGTTAGGCCAGGATTCATTGCATAGCATTCTTCCATTCTTGATTTTCTGACATCTTAGGGGAGACTTCTTCTTCCTTCAGGAGGGAGATTTTTGGATACTACTGCTACAAATATTACAAGTCTTAGTGCAAGAGTTGTAGAGGAATAGGGAGCTTAGCCAGTATTGTATTCACTAAAACTTGAACTTATTCTCATTGAGGTTCCAGCAGCTCCCTATATATGTTTTGCCAGATAAATTGCTGACTGTTTATATTTTTTAATGTAGGTTGGAGCTGATGACCCATTTGATTGCATTATCATCACCTAATAACATCATACCTAATATATCTATTCTTGTCTGATAAGGATCTGCTGATTCATTTGCTGAGTAATGCAACTGATTTGATAGTTAATACTGATATAATGACAGGCTAAACATATGACTAATTGATTTGACTAAAACTATCTAACGGAATCATTCAAGGCAAAGATCATAACACTTGTTCACAGGCTACAAGTACAGCTTAAGCAACTGGCCATTTAGTGCATAGTTGTTTTCTACTCAAATTGACCAATTGGGTTTTAGGTAATGGGCAGTCTTGCTGAAAGTCAATTCCCCATTTTTCAAATGATCTTATTGGAACTAAGGGAAGGAGCTCAGCAATTCACTGTGGTCAACCTTGGTTGATTTGGCAACTTGGGGATGTTTTCACTGGCCTCTCAATATCTTATTCCATTCTGGGCCACCATGCTCCAGCTTTTATGAGGCTATGAGTTCCCTCAATTCCCAGATATTTGAGTCCATTGTGTAGCTGGTGTATTAAGTCCAGGCAAGCAGCATAGGTGCAATAGGAAATAGGGCTTCCATCAACAATTTGGCAGAGTGTAGCATCCTATACTGCAGGTTTGCTTGCATCATCCCATATAATTCTCTTGACATCTTCATCCACCCATTAGCAATGGCTTGGCCCCCCGAGTACTTTGGTAACAGGCTGGGCCAATATGATTCATACACCAGGTTGAGTTGTGCAACTTGTTCTAGTCATGAAAAGGCATCAGCAACCATGTTGCTTTTCCCAGGGTGGTAGACAATCTCCTGGTCAAGTTGCTGAGTTTATTCACTCCATCTTATCATTCTTCAAGATAGTACCTTCTGAATATAAATGTCCTTAAGGGTGAGATGATCTATCTTTGCAGTGCACTTGACACCTGCAATGCAGGATATCCATGTCTTTAAGCAGTGTATTATGTCAAGCTTCCACTTAACATGCACCAGATTGTTTTGTTCTACAGAGTTCAGGCTCTTGTATTTTATAGCAGCTGGGTATTGCTCTTCTTCTGGCTCCTAGTACAGTACTCCACCAATTGCAAAATCTGAAGCAATTGTGCAGAGAGTAAACTCTTTTCTGAAGTCCGGTACTTGTTAGCTTTACAGCTTTGCAAGCTCATTTTGAGTGTCTGAAAGGCAATCTCACAGGATATGTCCTACTTTAAGGCATAGTCCTTCTTGAGCTTATCACCAAAGCATTGGTGGTCCCCAGGATGACTAACTGGGACTGGAGTTTCCTTGCTCCAATAGTTGACCAATTTGTCTCTTCACATCTTCCAATTACAATGGACTCAACCTGTAAGATGTCTTGTTCACTGGGGGGCTATCTTCTGTGTCAGTGGCATGACTCACATCTTTGACTGATGGTTGGCTAGCTAGTTCATCTGGAAATATATCTGAATAATTGTCCAAAGAGTCTGGACTTGCTGGGGTGCTGTAGTATAGGATTGCCCTGTGGTACTGCTATGAGAACCATCTTTATAACTTTTCTAAGTGATCTGCAAAACTCTGCCGTGCTCAATTCACTCTTTTCCAACAAACTAGAATTGACCAAGTTGAAATCCAGTCTGTCAGGTAGGAGCTCTTAAGTCTAGTTGCCTTTTTGGATCTGAGTGGCATGGTTCTCCAATTGATTGATGTATTGCAGATGTATAGCCGTGTTTTTCCAACAACAAGGTCAAATTTGCAGTATTCAAATATATAGGTCTGCAGGTCTTGTTCATAGTCTTTGATCATCTTTCTTATTTGTGCAGAAATACAGCTGATTATGTTAGAGTCCCTACCAGCTACTCAAGCTGAAGTGAATTTGTTAAATTACAAGTTGATCCTGCTTTTAAGGCTGGTTATTCTGACATGTACCTGTGTGATGCTCCTGAGTCAATCATAATCTTGGCAGGTACTCCATTGATTACTCCATTTAAGTATATTATATTCCCTGGGTTTGATGTCATTTGGGTTAAGTATTTGTCTGTCATATAGAAGTTGAGTTCTGACTCCTCTACAAGCTCAGCTTCCACTGTACTATGTCCTTGGGCTTTACTATTGTGGAAGGCACTTATAGACTGGTGTTGATATCTTCACTGAGGGCAGTACTATGAGATTTGCCTATACTGGTGGCATTTGAGACCAAGCCCTTGTAGTGTGGCTCCCACTCTACCAACTGAGCTATGTTGGGTTTTGTTATTTGATCCTGACTTAAAATATAATATGGAGATAAATAGTACAATAGCATTGATACTAACTTGCTAATCAACTGCATTACAAAAAATAGTTTATAATAGACAGCAGGTATCTAGAGAGCTCCTATAGTTATACTTGCCTGACTAAGCCACCAATGGCAAGAAATAGCCCTATGGAAAATTTCAAACTTGGAATTCTTCTGATTTTCAGCTGGTTTTCTGCTGGTATTCTAATGGAATTTTGCTGGTATTCAGCTGGTGCTTTTAGTCCAAAATTTCAGATGAAATTCTTGATCAAAGAAATGGGCACCTAATCACTAAATTTGATATGGATGGTAGTTGACCTAGTCTCCTCCTGGAGTGTTTGTTTGCTGACCTGCTCATAAGCTAACAATAGCAATATTGAGAGTTTTCAATTTTGAAAACTTAGAACTCAGCTGATATTATGATGGTATTTTACTGGCCTTTTCTTAATTTTTTTCTTAGTGTAGATTTTGATCTAAATGGCAGCTAAGTTAAATTGTCATTTAGAACAATGGTAATTGAGCCACAAGAATGGAGAAATGGCCAAGTTGGTCTAAGGCGTCACTTTAAGGACATGTTCTCTTTAGAGGCGTGGGTTTAAATCCTACTCTCTTCATTTCTTTTGGAGTAATTATGCTTGCCTTTACTCAAGAGTCACCTAAGAGCCAAAGCCAAATTTGGTAAATGGCAAAGGCAACAGCCACTTAATGTTTTGAACATTTGGATGCTTAGCACAGCCCTTTGAAGTAGACAATAAGGAAATTTTCTTGCACAAGTATAAAAGTATAAAAGGATCATCATGTAAGACATGCATTCTGCTGGAATCAAACCAGCAACCTTCTGCTTACTAAGCCAATGCTCTGAAAACTCAGTCAAGGAAGCATAATACAACAACCCTTTCATATATCTATTATCTAAAATTGCCCTTCAGCAAGAATGATTAGGTAATGGAGAGCATCATTGTATCTGGAGAGCATCATTGTATCTGGAAAGCAAGCCCTTTAGGCGAAAGACAGCAGTGCAAAGGAAGAACAGACACATGCACACATAACAGAAGCAAACAAGTATCATGTAATGGAGCAGTTTGGAAGAAAACATCAGCACCTAGTATTCTCACATGGTCCACAACCATTGTACTGACT